ACWMAYRAWKGMTGGMTKSWYTCWCWYRCWKKYTGTTTGAGAGTATTTTATCTATGCACTRTAAAAATGCATGTGAAATTGGTAAGGAGGATGTACTGCATACACGTCAAYCTCTTTGGACGTGTACCTGTATAAAGAGCCTCAAAAATCCGTAAATTTTGCAAAAAATCAGTAAAACTCGCACCCGCGGGRGTGGGGGGGGTCTGTCGGCTGTGGACATGAAAGCGCCAGGAGGAGAGGAGAGCGGAAAAAGTTCAAAACTTATTTCTAGCGGCAGAACAGGTTGGAAGATGGCTGTTTGATGTTATTGTTTTTTAAATCATCCTACAGGCTCTGACATGTTAGATAAATTTGAAAATGAAGTTTTGAAAAACTSYGTAAGACTTGAAAAAAATCTGTGAGATTGTTCTATACGTCCGTATATCTGCAAAATGACGTAAAATCCTTAAAACTTATAGACAATCCGTACAAGTTGACATGTATGTTCTGTGCAAGCTTTTTTTAAATTACAAGTGTTCAAACGTGCGACTGGTTAAATACATGCACCTTACCAATGCCAGCGATTTGTGTGCAAGGATGCTGATCAAATACTTGGCCCCTCTTTGAATATTGTGRCCCCTTACACTGAAAAATCTCAGATACGGCGCTGCTGAATCCTAATTTTGTGTAAATTTATTTTTGATGTCAATATGAAGAGGAAACCTCAAACAGTATTTGTATATTAAGATTTCCAAGTTGGAAAGAAACAAAAACATTGCTAGCTCACAGGGAAAAAAATCTAAATTTTAAGGTGTTTTTCCCCAAAATCATGTTTTTTGTTGCTACCGCTAAAAAAAATCTTCAAAAAAATTTTTTTAGGATTATATTTCAGACAGTTCATTGAACTGACACCCCCATTTCATATTATATATTTGGTCTTAATCCTGGTTTCGATGTGACGGGTCACATTTATTATTTCGAACTGAAAGGCAACACACCGCCTCTCTCCGAGCTTCCTCCAGCTGAGCAGAGAGCTTTCGGACTTGGTTTTTGTGCTCCTCCTCTCGTGCGGCCACTTGAAAGCTGAGCGCTTCGACGTTCCGCCTCAAGGTCCTGACCTCGGCCTCGCGGCTGGAAATGTCGCTCTCCATCATGGAGAGGATCTGGACCGCCTGAGCTGCAGCCAGAAATAGAAGAGACGGGAACGCTTTCATCAAYGTCTTCTTAGCTTCTTGAACTCAAGATTCCCCCCAAAAGAACACTCCCAACTCACACAGGAAGCTGTTGTTTTGATGCAGCGACCTCTCCCCCCTCCAGTGTTTGTCCACCAGATTGAGGAGCATCTCCAGGGGTTTCCGATAACCGCCCTGAGAGGAGAATTCAAAMAGATTTGCGTCAGGGGAAACGGAATCTTAAACGAATGATGTACAAACCTTTTTTTTCTTGTCGGCAGGCTGCAGGTTGGTCCCCCCGTCCGTCTTCTTAAAGCTCAGCCTCGCRGGATGTAAGATGGGATTAGAGGGGTCCGAGAGATTCAAACCACGATGAAGTGGACTGGGAGGCCGAATGTTAACGAAAGAAGAAACGTGACRATGACTTTGATCTAGAAAAACGGTGTAAAAAGACACATTTATTAAAGTGCCTGTGACGTCAAATCTTTTGAAATAAATGTGAATGCGTTTTTGGAAAGATAACATCGATAACATATTGCAAAAAAAAATTCACGTCGCTGAGCTGAACAGTTGTTGAGATATTTGCAAGTGAAGAAACAGGAAGTGATGTCAAAGGGGAATGTCTGAATGTGAAGAGCGTTGTTACAAAACAGACTATAGAGAAGAATCTGATGTTTCTTTAGATTATTTTGAGTCGTTATTAAAGAGAGACGAAGAAGAGTTAAAGTTTAAATAATTTTGTTTTAATAAACAAAAACCAGAGAGTTTATTTTATTAATGAATCCCCCTTTGATGTCACTTCCTGTTTCACTTTGGCTGAGCCAAATTTAAAAAAAAATAGGCCAGTTATGAGACAAAATGGGTAAAATAATCTGAACTATGCCCGTTTTCTTAAGTATAAAGATGTTTTCTTTGACTTTTTGTATTTGAAGGATATGCATGTCACAGGTACTTTAATGTCTCCATAAGAGAAATATTGACAGTTGTGCATTTTCAAAACCAACACAATAAAGGCTTTGTTAAATATACAGTGTTGTATAAAGTACCAAAAAGTGATACTTGAGTAAAAGTACAAGTATCTTACCATAAAATTACTTTGGTAAAAGTTAAAGTCTCCTTTAGGAATATTACTTGAGTAAAAGT